AGAAGTGCTTTCAGAAGTGCCACCTCCTGTGGGAATTGCGCAGACTTCTCCGGAAGTCTGCTTCGAAACTCTGCCTGTTCCAGAAAGTCTGGTGGTGATGGCCAAGAGTTGCCAGAGTCAGAGGAAGCACCCTGGCGCTGGGGGGGGTGCTTGCAAGAGGACATGCAAGACAGCTCATGGAAAGAGCCCAAGTATTCGGTGTGGCTATCACAAGTGCACAAAGCTGGACATTGATTGCAAAAACTCTTGCCACATGCTCAGCATCAAGAATGTGAACCTTCAGCAGTGCCGATGCTTGAGAAAGCATGTCCAGGCTGTCAGGTTCTGCTCCAAGTCACATTTGAACAGGTGCAAGCTACAGCAAAAAGCACAGAATCAGAAGATGAGCTCTCGGGCAAAACGCAATGTGAAAGGCAGGGTGCCTCTCACGGCAGAGCAGGTTGGAATCTTGTTCCGCACTCTTGTGCAGAAGCTTAATTGTCCATGGGCAGGGGCATTGTGCTTGTTGCAACTCTTTTTGGGAGACAGAGCTGATGCAGCCAGGCAAGGCTCTACAGAGTGGTTTCGTAATTTGAACCCAGATAGTGGGAATCCTCCAAGTGTGGCCATTCCAGACTGCAATGACAAAACGACGGTGAGAGAGATATATCTCTCAAGAGGATTTGCGGCACTGCTATGGCATTGGGTTCTAGAACCTCTCAGAGGCTGTGACAGGAGGACCTCATGGCCACACCCCGGCCAGAACCTGCACGGTGCGATTCTGAACAAGAAGCCTATGCTCCTTTTTCCTGGGCGTGTTCGTGGAGGGAAGGACTCACGAAATTGGGACAAAGCCATCAGTGAGAAAGCATACTACAATGCAGTACGCGAAGCAGCTGGAATTATTCAGCGTGAGCGTGCACAAGCACATAGCCAGCAAAGCAGCCACCCTTATGACAGTGTTGATCTGGATCGCTTGGGCACACACAGTATGAAGAAAACCTGTGTTACAGAACTTTGTGAGCAGAATGTGTCGCTTGCAGCGATAAGTCAGTTGACTGGCACCACGGAGGAGGTCTTATTGCGTCATTACTACAAGCCTAGTCAAAGGAAGCAGCAGGAAGCTGATACTAACGGCCTGGCCAAGGTGGTAGCAGCCGTTTCACCCAATGTTTCAGTACAGGATGCAAGTGTTCATTGCTCACAATGTGGAATCCAACGGCAACCTGACTGGTATTTCTGCCCAAAATGTGGTGCTAAGTTCAATGACATGGCATAAAACTTGCCAGCTCAGCCAAAGTACGCTAATGCTCTGAATGTCACGTGTGGCTCTTCTGCAGAACATCGCGAGTCATGCAGCCGAGAAAGTTACTGAGGTCGGGTTTCTTGGAGGACGTTGTTTGTGTTGGTGCGCATGCTGGCATAGTCCTAATACACTTGTTTTCGTGTTCATTTACAGGTTTGGGGGTTCAGTGTCTAGGGCTTTTTACCATTTCGGGATTTCACAAAGAGGTGTGATTGCTAGATTCCAGTTGCATTTTTTTCCAAAACCGTAAACCCTTGATTGAATCCTAGACCCCACGCAGGACCAGACCCTAAACCCCTCGGTGCATGGCCTGCTGACTCAGGCAGCACTGTGCCATGTGCTGACCGCCCATCGTGACGGATTCCTGTGACAAGAAGGCTCACGAGTGTAGAATCACGGAAGGTCTCTTGCAGCAGTGCAGCTGGCTGTCTTTTGTGCAATGCTTCTTTCTGCTCCAGGTGTCAAGGTTTCTGGCTCCGGCCGTGCTTAGCCTGACTCCGTATTGACTGTATGCTGATTGGGAGACCAGCATTCATGTTACATGCCATGCGCAGGCTAGGCAGCAGCCGTGTCTGACTCTGCTGCTACAAAATTGCAGAGCTGCCTTCAGGCATCCAGCCTGGAATCAGCTCCATGCACTTCGAGGCAGGAACTTCGAAATCGTGTGGGAAAACAATGACTGGTCGTACCGGACCCAATCCATTTATGCTGTGCTGCATAACCCAGCATTGCTTAGTCACGCTGCTGTTCCAACTTGAGACTTCTGACAAAAGAGCACTGTTCACTTGCGTCATCTTCCCGGTCAGCTGGGCCTTGTCTGGGCGGAAGAAGACCTTGTGCTCCTCCAGGCTGTAGGAATCAGGGTTTCAGGGCTTTCGGGTTTAGTTCTTGTGGAGTGGGTTTGAGATCTAGCCCATGCTGCTCCTGCAGCACCTTGTAGCTTCCGGGCTGGCCAGGAACGTCTTGCATCTTGTGGTACTGGATCCGCTTTTCAACCTTGGAGTGCAGAGCATTCTCAACTGTTGTGTAACTGTTGTCCAGGATGATCCACTGCCCCATTTCCGTCACGACAAAGCCCACATCAGTTTGAACATCCAGCTCCACTTCCTTGGCTTTCTCCTGCAACCATTTCCCCTTGCCAAAGCCAGTGGCAATGGTGCCGGCTGTAACTGAGACCTTGGTTACATATGAGATCAGCTGAAAGCCGTCTCCCAGATCGACTGCTGCTAAGAAGCCTTTTCTTTCTCATTGGGATTCACAAGATACATCTTGCCCTGGGTCCTGAAGCTGAAGTGCAACGGCTGCCACCCAGTTGGAACCTTGATGTTTTGCAGTGGCACCTGAGCGCTCGGGGTTTAGGGTCTTTAGGGTCTTGGTTGTGCTGTTCCTAAAGCTCAGACTCAGACCCCTGAAAAATAAACAATCCGGCCTTCTGGGTTTCCTCACCAGCCTGGTCCTGCAGTGGGAGCCACGACAGGTCCAAACGCAGCTTCTTCGGCACCACGTTGCTGATCTGGGAGTCGGAGGCACGTTTTTTCATTACCTCGTCCGGTTTCCCGAACTTTTCCGTCAGGTTGTCCACAGCCTTTCTGAAGTCTGCTCCGTGTACCGGATGGTGGTACCATGTCTTTGTCACAGCTTCCGGAAACTTGAGAGAAGCTGGGTTTCCGTCGGCGTCCTACGATTGTTGGCGATAATGATCTCTGTTGAAGTGTGACTGTTGCTTCACTCTGTCCTTCACCACAATCAGCTTCTTCAGTGTGGCAGGCACAGGAGCTGCCACGAGATGCTCTGCGGGCGGCTTCTCAGGTGACCTGTCCAATGGAGGCAAGCACACAGGGAAAGCTGAAACATCAGAACGTGTTGCAAACTGAGATAGCAGCCTTGTGTGCCCTGGCAGCTTCAGCTTTCCCTCCATGAATCTGTCGGCAAGCATTTCCCTGTAGTACGTCTGCATCCATTCATGTGTCTCCATGTTCGGCAGGAAGCAAATGTAGTGCAAGGTATTGCGGGAGCCCTGTTGGAGGTTCACAAAGGCCTTGGTCTAAAGCGCCCGAGCTTCATGCACAGGGCATTGTGAAACATGTAAGGAAGCCTGTGTGACATGCAGGGGCCACGCTCTAATGATAGATGAGCTTCCTCGAGAAAGTTTCCGACAAATGGAAACAAGTCGATGATGTCCAGCCCCATTTTGCCAGGCAAGTCCATGCCGTCCTCAGTTCCCTAATTTATCCTGTCAACAGAACAAGCAAAGTTACAACACAACTCACATGGTGATCTAGCTTATAATGACATCCGGACAAGCAAAGCCGCAACATGACTCACATGACAAACTTCAGTTTGTCAACTTATCATGAGAACGGAATTTGAAGCAACACCACAATGTGACATATATGACAATCCTTGGCTAACTTATCATGACATTGACAATGTCATGACGGCTGACGTATCCTGACAACGAAGCAAGCAAAGCCCAAACATGACTCCGTCACAAACCTCAAACCTCAGTTTGCTAACTCATCATGACAACGGAATAAGCAAGGCCACAACATGACACGCATGACAATTGCCACCTAGATGCCACCAGGGACTGCAGCAGCTTTGTTGCAGCATCCGGCCCAACCTGGGCCCATTTCTGGGCTCCCTTCACTGTGCCAGACAGCTGAATGCTTGGGCTTGCTGGCATCGATGTCTCACCAACCTCCTCCACGGAAATCATTTCTCGACCGCCAAGCTGCTTCGCCTCTGGGGTACGAGACCGCTTGAAGAGTGTAGATTTCCGCCAGAGGAATTCTCCAGCCGGAAGGGTGTCGGTTGCTACACTGGTCAGCAGGTGACCAGGATAGCTCAAGGGGCGATCCTCTCTGTCATCCTGGGCAACAATGCACCAATGCAGCAGGCCTTCACCAACTGTAGTGCAAAGCGCTCAGGCTCAGGCCAGTTTCTCACTGAACAGCATTGAAAACTCGATCCATCTGCACACCAGTCATGGCGATGCGTTGCAGCACGGCGTGCTCTTCTGCATATCGGCCGTTCTTCTTATAGCTGAAGAGAGGATTCAAAAGCACAGCAACGTTGTTGACATCAGCCAAGCTGTGCTGGAGGAACTTGAATATCGCTCCTTGGTGGTCTGCCTTGATCAAAGCATGGGCTGACAAAGTTGATCAGGCTGCACTGAACCTCGGTAGTGCAGTTGCACAGATGGCGGGTTTCGACTCGCACACTCAGTGTCAGTCAAGGCAGGCACATCTTCCAGGCAACAAGGTGGAATGCTCTCAGAGCACTATTATGTCCCAGGAACAACCCTGTCCATCTGGCACCGCTTCATGCGGCTTTGCTGGGATTCCAGGTATGCCGTGACCCCGACCATGCCCGGATCCTGTCCATCCTTGCTCTGCTCCCAAATGAAAGCTGTCACCTTAAAAGCTGCTGCAATAAAAAAACTCTGCTGCAGCCAAGAAATGGACTGGTCTCCTTTTCTTGCAGCCAAAGTCACATGTTGATCAAGAAACGCATCTGCAGCTGCCCGGGCTTCATCCAGCTGCCAAAGGTTCTGCTGATGAGCCACTGCACTCTTGTGGCTGGCACTGTTGGCCAAGTACACTGTAAAGGCTTGCATGTCAAACTCAATCTCTTGCTTGAGGAGCTCATACGTCTTCAAGTCCACTTCTAGCTGTGCCCTGTCCAGATTGCAGCCGGAGGCAGCTGCTGAGTCCCCAAGCGTTCCCTTGCCAGGCAGGTTGCCGGCAAACTCATCAATGAGCTGTTTCAGGCCTCACAACAAGCCATCAATTGTTGCTGAGGCACTGAGGCTTTCAGTAGTAGTAATAGTAGTAATAGTAGTAATAGTAGTAGTAGTAGTAGTAGTAGTAGTAGTAGTAGTACAAGTAGTAGTAGTAGTAGTAGTAGTAGTAGTAGCAGTACTAGTAATTCTATGAGTGAGCACTGCTTCAGTGCTCACTACCAGTAGCAGCAGTCAAAGGAATAAGAGACAGCATTTCTTCAGCACTCTGTACGGGTAGTAGTAGTAGTAGTAGTAGTAGTAGTAGTAGTAATAGTTGTAGTGGCAGTACTAGTAGCAGTAGCAGTAGCTGTAGCTGTTGCAGTAGCAGTAGCCGTAGCAGTAGCAGTAGCAGTAGCAGTAGCAGTACCAGTAGCAGTAGTACTAGCAGTAGTAGTAGTAGTAGTTGTTGTAGTAGTAGTAGTAGTAGTAGACAGCACTTCTTCAGCGCTCCACATCGCTAGTAGAAGACTAACAGTTTCCGTCCAGATAAGCAGCTGTCGCAGTTGCGTGGCCCGTACGACGGCTCCTTGCTCCACTTCCAGCCCAACGTCACCATTTTCCAGCCGTGACAGCCACCTGACATCAGTCTGGGAATGGGTGATCTATACGAAGAATGGCACAAAACTCGTGCCTCTTGTTCAGGAAGGGCTCGATGTTTGCCACCTGCCCAGCAGCCATGTCACGCAAAGCCACTGCCAGTGCACCTGTTCTGCACAAACCAGAGGCAGGGTCCAGACAATTAGGCACAAACAGATTAATTGCTTCTGAGACACAGAACTCACTTCGAGCCTCCAATACTGTCTTGGTCGGCTTTGTCCGCAAATTCCGAGGCATCCGGAAATAGCAGGCATTCGTGTACTTCAAAGCCAATGTTGTACTTTCGTTGGTCACCTGGCCGTACTTCCACCAATTGCTCTGCTTGGTCACCCGGGCACCCCGGAACACAAATCCCAGGACCAATTTTTTCGTGCTGAGGGAGTCGTCCGAGTAGGGGGAGCCTCATTCGGAGGAGATGGACATACGTACACAACATGTGCATGGAAAAACACAGAAATAAGCTTCAGCTGTGTAGCCTCTCCAGCCGCATTGGTTAATTGCATCTTGCAAGACTGAGCGGACTGAGGGTTCCAACTCGAGAATATTCTTGACTGTCATGAAGCGGCCACCGACGAGCCGCTCTGCCTTGCTCGCTTGTTCGTTCCATTGTTGAATGACGACAGCATGATCCCAGCCACCTTCTTGCTGAAGAGATAGGAGTCCAGCTACCCATGTCATGGGTGAGGGTGCCTCTCGGATCTTGCCCCGTGCAAGGACTTTCATGTTGTAGAACCTCAAAAAAAAACAACCAAGATTTGTGCACAGGTGCAAAGGACTCTGAACTCACAAGAATTTCCAAATCAAAGGGCAGCTCGTCCTTGGCATTGGCTGTGCGCAAGCACTTCACAGCAATGCGGTTCACCGTGCCCACAAGATATGGGCATGCCTTGGACTGGTTTTTTCGGCAGTTCATGAAAGACACTGGTCCTGGTTCCATTCTGCTCCCACCCAAGACAAGTTGCTTGCTCGAGACTCAGTCCTTGTTCCTTGAAGAAAGCCAGAAGAGCCAACAGAGACACCATCGACTTTGTCCTTTCACATAGCCAACGGAAAAGGCCTCGATCTCGGCAGCACCACGTGCCTGAATTGGGGCCCAGAGCAAAGAGAGATACAACAAGAAAGGAGAGAGAGAGAGAGAGAG